GAATATTATTTTTTGAAACACAAATAAAAAGGACCCTAATCTTTCTAGATCTCTCGCATTCAATTCAAAAAAGCTTGCAAAGATAATCAGTTGAGATTTAACAAATCCCAAACTAAATTTTACGAATATTATAAATGAGTAACCGTATTTGTCTTTGGCATAACAATATGTAAAGAGATTTACCTATAATCAACAAGAGCATCTTCTAGTCAACCAATGAACTCACCATCATTATCAAAAGTAGAGCAATTATCATCCACTTTCCATATTATTCCCCCCCTTCGCTCCAAAACCTCAAAAAAGCTTACAGAACCCTTGGAACTGTGGTTACCAACTTACCCATATGACCATCTCCTCTGGTAGCAGCAATTCAAAGATTCTGAAATTAAGTTGCATCTACTTGTTAGTAAGCTATATAGCTATACACACACACACATATATATAAGATTTGAGCTCTCAGAAACATTGGGTAGTGTGTATCATGTCAAGTTACTATCCATATAGATTATTTTCCATCAATAATAAAACTTTATTTCTAGAACTCCTCAAACATAGTAATTATAAAGGGATTTTTTAACAAAACTTTAAAGACAAAATCCTTGAAAGAATTTCACTTTATCTTCATCCTTCATCAATTATTAAGATTGATAGCTCCATCATCCAAGCCTATGTTGATTGCTCCTTTTAAAATTGAACTTGGCGGGCCATGTCTTTTTTCTAAAAAAATAAAATAAAATAAAAATAATGATCGAGGGCAAATTTCGGCGGGCCATATCTAGTTTGACACCATCAGTCTAAACAGATTCACACACACGGCTCCTACATACTGTTCTCAGTTGCCAGACTCTACCTAAAGCCCATATAAAAGTGAGATGGTTGGCCTGGGGCTGTAGACAAACTAGAAAGACTACTTTAGAACCCTACTGCCTCTAGCTCAAATGGTCTAAAATATTTGTTCGGCCCAATAACAAAATGTTCTTAACTCAGGGTTTTGATCATCTTAATTTGAATTAAGAATCGAATTTGATTCTGACCAGAATATTTGTCATAGCTTCATACTCATAATCCAAATCCGAATCACTTAAGAAACAACAATTTAATCTTGATAGACTATTTAGAGCTTAATTTTAGCAAATTATACTTGAATTTCAAGTTTTCAACTCAAAGCTTGAGCAAGAAACTAAGTTTTAAGGTCGAGCTCTGTCGATCACGACAATATCAAATCTAAACATATTTAAGTTCGATAAACTCCACTCAATTAAAACAGCTACTCAGGATCAATAATCCAACTCACTCTTAGCGCTGCTGGACTACAACTCAAGTAGTCAGTCGAAAGCAGGACAAGACAAATTAAAGCAATAAAAAAAAAGGGATATAAAGATAACACGTTTCATAAGAAAAAGGCTACCATACGTAGTTAAAGATTATAGATCTGATCATAAGCATGCTAATTTGGGGGAGGAGCTTTCATCCATGGATTATGTCAATTATTCAAGCACCAAGTTGGTATTTCTTTAACTACAACAAAACACATTTCTTATAATTGATGGATGTAATACTAAACTCTCCGAGATAAGGTTGTGGGATACCTCACTCCTCTAGTAGAGACTCAGAGAGATCATCTTCCACAAGCAGGCAGCAAAAATATATACATTTAAAGCTGGACGTAAAATATATACATTTAAGGCAGAGATCATCTGACCGCCATAGACGTAAATTTAAAGCTGGAGCTTTTCCCCTGCCTGCTTATATCTTAGAGCTTCTATAAGCTTCTCAGCCTCTGGTACTACATCTTTAACAGCATCATTTGAATAAAACCTCTCAGCCCATCCCAACAACTTTGGTGTCTTGCTTTCACTCAGCAGCTTCACATCAGCTGTAATTTCTGCCACCCTCAGCCACCCCAAGAAGCAACCCAAAGCAATATCAAGGTACCCAATACTATCACCACCGAAGAAAACCTTCCCTTTGCCACAATTGTCAAACACTTGCTCCAACAACAATAACCCTTCAACTATTCTCTCTATCACTGCAGCCTTTGCCTCCTCCCCTTGTGCCGTCCTAAGTTCCCCGATTAACGGAAACCACTGCAACCATTTAAATCATGTCAAAACACAGTCAATTGAAGTTTCTCTGGAGACATTACATAGATATGATTCGAAACGCAACCCATCAATCATATGAAATTGATACAGAATTGACAAGTGCTGATAATAACCAGGTGAACCCGTAAACCTGATTATAGACGACTATAAAAGAGTTAAATATGAGAGGAACAAATTGTGTCACGACCCAATTTAAACAAGGCACAAACCCGACACAATCCAACTAATTGCCAACACTAGCTAAAGATGAGGAGGACTGCCTCATCATCAATAAAGGTTGCCCAGAAGCGAGCAGTGGCGCAGTCGTACGGATCAGAAGGGAGGAAGGAGGGGCCATTAGTCCAGACCTCATCGATGTACTGGATAATAATAAGGGACTCGCAGATGGGCTTATCGGCATGGATAAGAACAGGAATTTTCTTTTGAACAGGGTTTGATTTAAGGAGGGAATTGCTTTTGGCTGCAAGATTTTCTTCAATGAACTCATAGTCGATGGACTTCACGTTGAGGGCGACCTGGACCCGATTGACGTAGGGGCTTGGCCAGGAACCCACAAGCTTCACATCACCTTTCGCCATGGCAAATTATGAAAGAGGTGGTACTCAGGTACGATGAACACAAAGAGATGCACAATTTGGATGGAGATGCACAATCATGAATCAGTAATAACGCGCGGGAACTAAATTTTTTACGTGCAGCCAATCAAAATTGAAAAGTTATACAAATGCATAAATTTCCAATGAGTTTGTGCAACTCTGCCTATAAAAAGTCTATTTTCTAACCCGTGTTTGAAAGTGTGTAGCGGGCAGGAGATCAATTTAAAAGCAAGATCGTTTGGTATTTAATTGGCGTGTATCCAGCAAGTTGGGTCCTACATTTTTTTTTTTGGCTCGCGTCGAGACTTATGTCAACTATTCACTTGAACCTTGAGCTAGTGATCGTAATTCGAACTAATTTAAGACCATGTCTTCTGACGAACAAGGGTGACTGGTCTTTATGGAGTATGAGGAGTATCGAATCTAAGACTTTTTATTTGCAAGAAGGCAAATTTGACTACTAAATCACCCCTACGCGCATCTCCAATTCTTACTCTTTTTTAAAATCAAATTTAAATTTGAATAAAAAATTTTAAAAACCTTCTTTAATGTTAGACTCATACTCATATCAAAGCATAGAAAACTCATTTTTTTACTCATATCAAGCGAGATACCTTTCTTTAAAGATTCAGTTATCATATTTTACATTTATTTAAATTTGAATTTGTCCTCATTTAAATTTGAATTTCTCCATTGAAAATGTTTATACCAAATCAAATTTTTTACTCTTTTTTTTTAAAAATTTGGGTAAAGGTTGTCAAAGGGTTAGTTGGGTCCTGCATTTGTTCATTAGAAATTTTTCAGATTTACATTGTATCATTGACTAACATTAGCTGTTACAAATTTGATGAAAACTTATCTAACTTTATCCATGAACTATATAGTTTTGTTTTATTTGATTCTGATGGTGTAAACCGAATTGTATAAGTAATGAGTCGTTATTATGCTATGCAGTGATAGTGGTGTGATAATGAAATAAACATTTTTCTAGGGGCTGGGAGGATTAACACAGAAAAAGTATAGTGGTTCACCAGTTCGGGAGCTCGGCTAATCCACTTTTTAATGGAGACTCTTGCTCCTTGCCTTTCAATAATGATGATTACCGGAGTAAAATTGCTAGTTTTTGCCTCTAGGGTCTTTTGCCCTTCTTTGGGGGCGTTACATAATATTTATGGAGCTGTTCCCTATTCAGTGGGATCTTGGCCGAGATTCTTGCCCTTATTTCGTGGGGTTCTCCTTATTTCTAGGAGAAGATCTTGGTTGGTTGAGATTAGGTGTCTTGATTATAGCTTCCTAACGCTTTAGGAACCTCTCGTGGTTATCCAGCCGTTGCCTTGCCTTAAATGACATTCAACCCTTGCCCTCTAACCTCAGTTAATATGACTAACCTCCCGGTCTGAACTGAACTCCTGAGCTAACACTTGGGATTTACTTTAGGCATCATTAGTTGCCCCCCAGCCCTTGGCCCAAGCTCACTTGGGCATGGGTTGAGCTGTTTTCGCATTGGACCAGGCTTGCACCTATCTGACCTTAGTCTGCATGTGAGATGCACGTTGGGGGGGGGGCTCTTTGACGGTTTATAGCAATCATGGCTTTCTCGATTCCCGTGCATGTTTCTACCCATGTTACTCGAGCTTTAAATGCTCAAACGACTGCTCAAAAATCGCTCAGAACTCTCTGTTCATCTTCTACGGTGTTCACCTTTGTCTCCGGCTCTTTCTCTCTGCAATTTATGGGCTTTCCTCTACGCGATTCTCTTATTCTATGTTCAAAATTGTGCTTTTTGGGTTCAACTCGAAGTCTTGCTTTGCTCTTTTCCTCCAATTTTGTTCTTTGGCTGCTATTTGTTGCTCCCTTCCTTGTCTAGGTACACTTCCTTCTGCCCCTTTCTCTTTCTCTTGCCTTTCCTCACTCTGGATCCCTCGACTTTGAGGTGGCCATTATTTTTTTGGATATTTCGATTCTTTTTCTTTTGGAATTGTGAACGTTGCCTATCTCCTCTTCCCCGCTTTGTGGATTGAACATTATGCGAATTCTTACTGTTAGGAGGTACAGTGCTGATCCTAGGATTATTAGGGGGTATTTAGTTAGTCTTCCTCCTTTTTTATAACTCTTTCGATTTGCCTTTCTCTTTACGAATCATGTCTGCTTCTTCTAGAGCAACTCCTCTGTTTCCCTCCTAGGCGACAAGTCTGCCGAGAGAGATTCTGACTTAGGGGATGTAAGTGATGAGATTGACAACTTCCCTGGTGTTGAGGCTATCGATACCGAGGTGGACTACAAGGAACTCCCCTTATCTTCCTCTCATATACTTCCTAATGCTGACAAGGGTAAGGGCAAGGTGAGTGAGGTTGGGATTTCTGATAGTGCGGCAGGTATGGGGACTTCCTTCAGGCATGCTGAGCTCGTGGGTCCCAGTGAGGTGGATACTCGTTTTGGTTTCCCCTCTGGTGTTCAACCCTAGTGTTCAGATAAACTCACCCCATACGTTGTCCAAGTGCAAAAAAGTTTGTTTCTTTGTGGCTGCTTTCGAGAATGACCTTCATTTTCCTTTGCATCCCTTCATCAAAAATGTTCTGCAGCATCTCAATGTCTGCCCTGTTCAGCTTTCTCCTAACTTTTGGGGTGTTTTAATGGGTCTTTTAGTTTTCTTTAAGAAGCATGAGCTTGGGACTCCCACTATTTCTCTACTTATGGACCTTTTCAATGTCAAGCTTACCTCAACTGAGGGCTTTCTATATGTTTTTAGGCGGACCTCGTCTAGGCAGATCATCACACACCTCCCGAGTTCTCACAAAGACTGGAAAAAGAATTTCTTTTTCATTGGGGGTGTCAATTGGGAATACAACCCTGCTGATAAAACAAACACTCTTGAGATTCCTCGAGTTGGTCAGCCCCAGATAATTTAGTTGAGTTCTTTCCAGACTGAGCTGCGCTATGAAGATTTATGAGTTGCTTTCCTGACCTCTGCATCTTTGGTGTTCCCCCTTTTTTAGGCATTCGACCTGAACTCAGCACCGAGGACAAGCGGGTGAAGTTGAAGTTGGCTAAGTGTAATCCAGAGAGGTACTCTGAGCTCCTCAAGCCCTGGGAATTAGAAAGGCAGGGATTCGGTCCTCCTCCAATCCCTCTTTCCGTTATCCGACCTGAGGACGTAGAAGGTAATGCTCTTTCCCTTATTTGGTTTCATTGCTCTCCACCCTTTCTTTTTCCTTTCAACTAACCAGCTTAAGTTAAATCTCCTAGGGTTTTCTACAATGAAGCCTACCCCTGAGATGCTCTAAGCTATGGTAGAGCTATTAAAGAAGAAAAACAAGGGTGGTACCAAGCGCAAGGCTGAGGGCAGTTCTGGTGGGAGCCCAGTCGTTCGAGCTAAGGTTCAGAGAATGGGTACTTCCCCTACCTCTGCCTCTATCCAAAAGGCTCCACCATCCCCCCTACATGCTTCAACAACCTCAGGACTTCCTTCCCCCCAAGGGACCCGACCTGCCACTGAAGATGCTCTTAGGAGAGACCAGTCCTCCCCTTCTGCATCTGAAGTTGAGAGGCCCTGGAGACTGCTCGCACTTTCCCTAGTCGCGCTGCTTCTACATCAATCAAGGAGACCTCACAACCTCTCATGACAGGCAAAAGGGTTTTCTCGAAGTCTGAGAATTCTCTTATTACCGATATGAAGTGTGCTGCAGAGGTCATTACCTCCATTATCCCAGAATCTGACATTGATGCGGCTACTTCTGTACCCTTGGGAACCTGTGTTTCCATTGCGCTGTATAGCTGTATCTCGGTGAGATTCTAATTTGTCTAATTCTCCCCTCTTTTTTTTGGTTGTCCTGCGCTCTTCCCTTTACACTAATCATTCATGTTTGTCTTCAGACCACCATTCAAATAAGCAGCTTGTTAAAGCGAATCCAAGTCCTGGAGAGGTCGGCTAATGCTTCCAAAGCTTTTGAGCTGAAGTGTGCCAACCTGACATTTGAGAATAATGACCTTAAGGTCCAAGTAAAGGAGTTGCAAGAGCAAGTGGAGCAGCAGTCTTCCTTTGCCAAGTCCAGACAAGAGGAGCTCAGCAAGACTAAGGAAGACCTCTGGTCAAAAACCGATGACTAGATCGAGGAGAGCCGAAAGTCCCTTGATGCTCTGACTTCCTTTAGGAACATGGAGAGGGAGTACAAAGTGCTAGCGGAGGCCAATGATATTGTCAGGGAGGAGTTAGGGGCTGTCAGAGAGGTGCTGGAGGTGCGAGACACTACCATCCGAAAAATGGATAAACTGATTGCCCAGCTAGAAGATGACGTTCTCAACAGGTGGGAAAAATGGTAGATTGTTTTCCAGGGTATAGCTAAAAGGACTTACCCTGAGCTAGACTTTGACTTTTCAATTCCCCTTGAGGAAGAGGCCGAGGGGTCTGATGAAGAAGAGGATGATGCTCCTGTTCCTCCTGTTTCTAAAGATGTGCCCAAAGACTCTGGAGGGCTCATTTCTCTAGTTGGGACTTCAGCTCAAAATGCTTCTGCCTCCTTAGACATCTCTACTTCCCTGGCTGCTGAGCCTGCTTCTTCCCTCCCCACTGAGCTGGCCAAAAGAGCCTTAGTTGAATCTGAGGTCCCTGCCTCTTTGTCTATTCTTGGCCCTTATGAAACTTCGACTGTTGATGTGCCAGAGAGGTTGCCTGTTGAGCTAGGGAGCCCTTCTTCAATTTCTTTTGCTGAGACTTTGGCTGCTGCACTGCTAGGCCCTTCGCCTACTCTTCCATTCAGAACTTAAGATGTTGGGATGTAGAAAAATTTTTACTTGTAGTTTTGGGCTAATTATCTCAGAATTGTAACATTTTAAAACGGAATTTGAAACAAAAATGTTAGAATTGTAACATTTTGTGTTCAATTTGCAGCTTATAGCTCTCCTTTCCATTTGCTTTCCAACTTGTTGGTTTATATTCATCATTTATCAAATATGATATTCCTCAACTCTCCTCCTCCCCTTACTTCAAAGGGTCGTTTAGAACCCTTTGAAGAGAAGAAGTTAGGAATAACTACTGATGTACGGAGCTGAACTTCCAACTTCTGAGCCTACTTCTGGCCCAGCTCCAGCAACTAACTACCAGAGCTCTGACCTCACTTTATCCTCAAAGACTTAGGACATAAAACATGTCTTCTCTCTTTTTTTTTTTTTTTAAAACTTATGAACTTATAGTTGTATCTCATTTGTATTGGAGTGTAACCTCTCATATGCAACTCTTCTCCAACTCCTCTCAAATGGTTAGGAAGTTTGCATGGTTAGTCTAGCTTTTTGCT